ATTTGTTTGTCTTTAATAGTTCTCTTTTAACACCTACACTTTGGAGTATAGTATCTGCACCCAGAACTGCGTCTTCATACAGCTCATAAGTTAATATAAGGTGGTGCCTACTTTTAGTGCCAATGCAGTGGGGTGTCTTCGCAGAGGCGCATTGGTATTCTTGTCATTACTAATACTCACTGGAGTAGTTGCAGATATATCCGCTAGACTTGCCCTGCTTTTGCATACAGCGACGACGGATGAGTAATTTGTCAGATTGTAGGCAGTGTTAGGTAACCCCGAATGTAAGTCAAATAAATCCCCGGGAGAAACCGTCAGTGCAAAATTAGGATTGCTGATGTTGACAGACCATAGCTAGTAATTCTTGTGGTTGGGGTTGAGGCTGTACGTTGTTAACTATACAATGGTTTTGGATATTCAGTTCCACGTTCGAAAATATATTTTGGCAAATGGGTTTCGATTTCCGATGAGGCTGGTTCCGATGAGACCGCTAGACCTTGCGTCGAATGCTGCACGATAGCTGACAGTTTGTCACATTTCTGAGCCAGCACGGCGATGCACCATAATAGTGGGTCATTCATACACAGCACACAGCAACAAATGGAGCGTGGGGTGCATTGTAGTTCATTCCCTTTAGCTACACCTAACCTTATGTACCTGGGATGGTGCTTCTTGCTGCCTTTACTACATGTAACTGCAATTCGAATGGACTCAGAGCACGATTCAGAATCGCAAAACTTGTCTGCAGACACGTAGACATTGTGCACATGCCTTGTCGCCCATGGCGAAGCATTGATGATGCGTTTGTCACGTGCGCAGGTTGCGAACGCCGACGGTGTTATGAGGGGCACGCAATGTCAGTCGCGGTATACTTCGAGTGTGTCCACAGTTGTAAACGAAACCGGCTGATTTCGACGCGCTCACTTTCTGATGTTTGCTATGGTAGATTAAATATGGATCAGGTCGCACATAGACCTAGAAGGCAGTTTGATTTGTGTGAATGAATTCACTATAGTTTGATGAATGTTTTAATGGTAGCTGGTAAAATTGATGCGGCTAGCAAACTTGGTGTCCGGTTCTTGTGGTGGGAAAAAGTGTACAAATGCTGACATGCACTGAAGAAAAGGATTGCATCGCGAATGGATACATGTGAAAATCCCTAATCGCTAAAATTGCACTAACGGATGCAAAAAAATGTTTACTAGACAAACCAGCAGAGGTAAGTCCACTGGATAGCGTTGTTAAATCCGAGTAGTTAGCCAGGTAACTATCAGAAAACGTATCCCCCTGTCACCGTTTTGCCCCTGTCAAATCTCAAAGCAATTACCGAACAAAATTTAGGTCTCTTACAACTTCACCGCAAGCCGTGGATGCATCGGAATTGTTGAATTTGAAATATAGGCAATTCAGCGCCCTAAAGATATGTAAACAACCCCCGCGCGCTCGGCCATTGATCTGAAAGGCGTCAATTGACGCAGATTTTGTTAATAAAACGGAGCGAAAGCCCAGTATATTGGGACGGGAAAGGACGTGGTAAGTGGCTTTCCTTCCCGTCTAAAAATGCACAAACAGGGTTCTACTGATCCAATTGTCTCTGCAAATTTACATCTAAATATTTTGTACTCTCATTAAACCATTTAGAGTTACACAATTTCACAGTTGTTTCTCCGGTGTCCTGTGTGGAACGCATGGTCATCCCACGACTGTAGCTTTGCCATCAACTATAACCGAGACACGAAAGTATGTGGCAACGTTTAAACAAATTAGTAATACCTAAATCGTTTCATCTAAAGCAAGCGTGAAGGAGTGCAAATATATGTCCTTTGCATTAGGCAACACTAGAAAATGGAGGAAGATAAATGGAAAGCGCTTTAAACATGGATCAGCTGTGGATTTTGATTTTTTCCACCAATGGCTTTAAAAGCCCGTTAACAAACATTGTTAGGTCTTCGCAACCCTACAAAATGTTCCAAAATATACGAATGACATCCGAAAAACCTGTCTTTGTAACATAGTTTCTACCAAAGGAAACCGGAAAATTTGACGGTTGATTCCTCTTATTGCACCCAAAGTAAAATAAGAAGGCAAAGCTTGCTTTTGCAGCCTCCAACGGTAGTATGAAAACCAGCGGTGCCGTTGACATAAACCCGCTCTGCACTCAGTGCACCATCATTCATCAACACCAGTCCTACAGGATCGAAGACAAATTTCGTAAAAGGAAAACGGCTGGTAATGTATTTATTTAAATTGCAAATATGACTCTAAATGTTCTAAATCTAAGCCCACCAATTTAAAAAGCGTCACCTGCCACCCGAACTTCGAAATAGTACAATAATCCAAAATTACTTCGTGGTGCATTAAATTTCGCTGATGAAGCAGTATAAATCTTTTTATGGAGAGAACGCATTCATAATGGGTTTTGTTCCATCCGCCTCTCCGCGGATGTTTCGTTGAGCGACTTTGAACATGCGAAGCGCGAGTTAGAAAAACCGTGGAAGGAATCCGTAGGCAGCTCCATCTATGTACATGGTGTCTTCGATGATGGGTTCATGGTGAGCTCGAAGAGACTACCCAAGACCAGGAGCATAGACGTCGCGTTAGAGAGACCTTCTCACTTTTAGACATCATAGCAAATTCAATCTTGAGACTGTGATAATATTGTGGAGTTGTTTTAAAATAGATTACTGTATACATGGTTGTTGTACTGTTGGAATGCGGGACGCAGCAGCCTACCTACCGAGCTCCGGATCATAGCAAGGTCCAGTAAGCGAACACGAATAAGCAGACATTTCGTCGAACAACTTTTCGACAACGGTGTGCGTAACATCAAACAGCTGTCCAACTAACCCATTGGATGCGTCTAATATTTAACGTACAAATATATTAGCAAGGCGAATATAGTTTGATTCATCGATCTGAGAACATTAGTTGGTTACTGCACATCAATCAAAATCATTTCTAGCCGAAGTCTCATTGGTCGGCGCAAATATTTAATAAACCAAACTTCCCTTTTCTCATTGCTGACAACAGAAAAACTTTCCTGCATGTACACCAAGGCGCATCGTCTTATAAACAAGTTTGGCCAACTGCAGGTACGTCAAACATCATGTGCCGCTGACCTTACATTCCTAACTAAAAGTTTGTTGCGCAAAAGTCATGAAACATAATATGCCCCGTCGTTGAAAAATTGCACCCAAGCCAGCGTGGTGGGGTATTGAATGATATAGTAGTGACATGCAATTCTAACCCATGAACGAACTGGAAACACTGATCATAGAATCACTGTGGTGCTGTCGGCGACTAAGAAGCAATGACATTTGTCTTCTGGCAATTGTTTATCGTCTTTCAATGTGCACCGTGCTATGGACACCTACATGATATTTCCCCTGCGGTATATCATGCGGTGACAACACATCCATGTTCCCAAATCATGTGAGTTAAAAGTTTATTATCTGGAATTTCCCCATACCACAACAATTACTACACGGTCCAGCTTCAAAAAATTATTGCCATCTTTACGCTCTTCCTTCATGGCGATTCTCCCATTTGTTTAAGCGAAGGAAATAAACCAACTGTGCGTGAGTTAGTGCTCACAAGTGGAGAGCTCGTGATCGGGTGGCCAACGATAAAAAACCCTCTAGTGCTGGGTGATCACGTAATAGTAATTTGCGTATGTGTTAAGCAGAATATCCAGAAAACATATTTAAATGTTTCGATTAAATACACACTATGACATACTAATAAAACATTTTAGATAATTAATCTGGTGGCTTTCTTAGTACAGTTCAATAGATACTGACTGAACTGGTTTTAGCAAGATATCTGTGTAAATTATCGTATTTAAACAAGTCTGTTTTCTTTTATGCCCATTATCATTCATTCCGGAGAAGAATCCGAAAACGGTAAGTGACGCAGCGTGGAACGAGTACAGAGCAAACTCTAGCTCTGAAGCTGCAGCTAGTAAATTGGGTAGCCTAATCACCGTAGGACACATGTCCATGAACACTAACAGAACCTGGCGGAAAGATTATGTGCTAACATATGGCAGCTGAAAACACATACCTTATCCGGCAATTGAATCGTGCAGTTTTACCACTCATGAAAGTAATGGGATGAGAGTAGGCCGCTGAGGATCCAGCCAGTTTTCTACGGCTACAATTTTCTCCGATATTCTCAAGCCGCACCTGCATTTCTCACATTTGGTTACATTCACTTACACACAGAGAGTTACACACTTGCGTATGAGTTAAGCGACTCTTTTGAGCAATCTGCTGTCGTTGGTCGAGCATCAGCTCGACATCATGAGACCATTCTACTCTGCATCACAACTTCAGAGGAATTGTTTGGTGTCCACGTGATTTACATTAATGTCATGAGAATCACGTTTATGTGGATGTTTGTGAGTAGTGTATAATTCGTAGAAAGTAGTAGTCACGGTTAAAATTTACACAATAATGTGCATCGACGGGAAATCGAACCCCGGCCCAACGAAGTTCCGGTCCGCTGCTCTACCACCATCGTCGAGGCACATTATTGTGTGTAAAATTTAACCTTGAATTCTAATTTCTACGAAAAATGGGGAAATCAGACAAACCTGCATAATGCCACTTGTGGTCGGAAAGCTATCCGATAGGATACCGCAGACACTGACGCGACCTGTAGTGTTCGAGTATCAAGCACGAAGGATGTTAACATATTTCGTGGGAACACATTTCCGTGCAGGTATTTCGAACAGAATCCATCGATCGACTAAATCGATCGCACTCTTGAAATCGAGGAACGCAGCTATTGTCGGTCTGCGGTATGCGTGACGCTGCTCTAGCGCCTGCCGCAAAGTGAATATATGGTCTATACAGCCACGTCCTGGGCGGAAACCGGCCTGCTCTTCCCTAACCCGAGATTCCCGTTTGTTGTGACTACACGTACACTAGTCCCCTGCACGCAGGGTCTTGAACAAGGTTCACTTGATTGTAAAGCAGAAATCATGACTTTTTCTTCGCTCCGCTCTCAGGCCAGTTTTTTCATTATTATTGTGTCATATATTGTTATATCCTGTCGTGAGTTATATAGTTCGATATAATATTTGATTCTGCGTTATCCGGTGATATATTTAGATATATATTAGCCGTAATTTTCTCGTTTTTTGTCCTCCTGGCGATTTTTTGATCTGAGTGGTAGCGTGCCCTTATCCTGTTAGGCCAATTTTATCTCGTTGATTTTATTGTTATAACAGTGTCGTCCTCTAATTCACATAATTAATTCTAGCTAGTCATTCAGCGTTATACTTCGTAACTATCTGTAATAATTCAGCATAACTTCTTTGTCTCTTAATTACACCCATTTGCTCGTATCGATCGTAGTTATTTTTAAAATGACGAAGCAGTCTCCTTGTGGAATTTGCTGCAAGATCGTCGGACATAGAGCTAATGCGGTTTCATGCAGTCTCTGCAGCGCAAGGCTTCATATTTCGTGCGTTGGTCTGACTGTAGACCAATTTCGTATAATTCAGGGCATTAAGAGCGAATTTTTGAAGACCGTTTGTAAGCAATGCCAAGCTAATCTTGTGCAGAATAAAACGGACACGTCTAACAAGCGGGTCAGCACAACGAAGTGCTCTAAAATGCCCAGCTCGCCTTGTGCTTCACCACAGTCAGTGAAGCTGCCAACGCCTAGTACCTCGTCGCATCCATCGCGGAAACAAGGTACTAAAGTTCCATCAGACTCTCCCTCAAGACCTACTATATGTTCAGCTGACAGTAAAGTTCCAATTTGCAATAAACAAACTGAGGATAACGATTGGAGAGTACAAACATCGAAGAAACCAAGACCAATATCTAATGACCTGAGGCGCCGTAGCCTCATGGTCTTTTACGCACCTGAGTCAGGGGATTCTAATCCTCAGGTGCGTTATGCACATGACGTCGAATATTTGCAATCATTGATTGACAAACTACTCGATGTAAATGAGGACGGGCTCAAAGTTCAACAGATCGCCCGTCTAGGAAAGAGAATGGAGGGCAAAAGTCGGCCCATGAGGGTGACATTTGCCGAAGAAGCAAGTACCAAGTTACTATTGTCTCGCCTTAATAGGCTGAAGGGTATGAAGATCCACGTGCGCGCTGACTTAGAACCGGCAGACAGAGAGAAACTCAAGTCTGCCATGATTGAACTAAAGCGGCGCACGGAGGATGGAGAAACAAACCTCCGTATCGTAAATTTTCGAGTAGTTGCCCGGGTTCCTCCACGAATCCGGATCAACAGGTTGCTAATACTTCAGGCGCGCCCAGCGGGTCCTACCGCGGTCTGCGCGTAGCCTTTACTAACGTATGCAGTTTGATGAACAAACGCGATGTGCTGTACGACTTCGTAAGCTCTCAGCGACCGGACGTATTAGGCCTTGCTGAGACATGGTTAAACTCCGACGTAAACGCCCAAGAACTGGAAATCACCGGCTACTCATGCTTCCGCTGTGATAGACCATCAAATGATCGCGGTGGCGTTCTACTTTACATAAAGTCTTCCTTGTGTGGGAGACTAGTGAGCGCCTATCAAAGCGCTGATGGTCTATGTGAGCAGTTATGGTGTTCGATACACCTCAGACGCTGCGAGTTGCACGTGGGCGTGGTATATCGCAGCCCACTGAGCCGCAGTTTGGACTGGTTGCCGCATGTCCGCAACCACATGAGTCGTCCGATGTTCCTACTCATGGGCGATTTCAACTTGCCCCGAATACAGTGGCCTGAAGCTGAACTTCTCCCCGGCCACTGTGAAGTCGAGAGGAAGTTTACGGAGTTGCTATTTGAAACTGGGGCCACACAGCACATCAACCAACCAACACGCATTACAGCGCGCGCAACTCCATCATGCTTAGACCTGCTGTTGACTAGCTGTGAGCAGCGTGTACATAACATTAAAGTCTTAGAGCCTCTGGGAGCGAGTGACCACTCAGTGATCATAGGCAGTTTAGAACTACCGCTACCGTATCCTCTCCCACTAGAGTCAGCCTTCAACTATTGGAAGGCGGACTTTAATGGCCTCATTCGAGCAGCGAGCCAGATAGACTGGTCTTTACCACAGGATTCATCTATTGAAACCTGTTGGGCTATCATTAAAGAGGGAGTGAAATCGTTGTGCGCCCGATTTGTGCCCCTCAAATTTCGGAAAGTTGGGCCAGTCAAACCACATTGGTTTGACAAAGAGTACAACAAAATGGCCCGACGGCGACGTAGACTATGGAACAAATTCGTGTTATCTGGCTCTGATGAGGACTACAATGCCTACAAGGTACAACGAAATCGCTGCAACAACGCGAAAACAAGAAAACGCAGAAGCTTCGAAGAGGAGCTTGCAACTGCCGCAAAAACTGCTCCCAAGAGGATCTTCGCATATGTGAAGCGGCGCCTAAGACCTATAGCTAGTATCCCAGTGTTAGAAGGCTCAGAAGGACAGCCTCTAACCTCGAGTACAGATCGTGCGTCAGCATTGGCAACGCACTTCGCCTCCGTATTCGCAAGTGACCAGGTGTCTGTAATGAGTTCGACGAGCACCGCTCCAGCCGAACTTAACAGCCTGGACTGCAATATTGAGGATGTACGCAAGATTCTAGCAAATCTTGACGGGACGAAACCTGCTGGGCCAGATGGTATACACCCACTAATCCTCAAGTCATTATCGACCATAATTGCACCTTCTGTAACTGAACTGTTTAACAGGTCACTATCCACTGGTCTACTACCGGACGACTGGAAATGCTCAGTCGTAAAGCCTATCCCGAAAGGTGGTAACCCAAGCAAAGTGGATAACTACCGGCCGATCTGCCTGACGGCAGTTTTGGCAAAGACGCTCGAGAAGATCGTGAAGAAGAGCCTTCTGCAACTTCTCGAGTCGAAAAACCTGTTAACCTCCGCACAGCATGGTTTCCTGAAAGGTCGTTCGTGCATCACCAACCTACTGTTGACGAGGCACGAATGGTTACAAGCGCTGAACAAAGGCCAATCGGTTGACGTCATTTACATTGACTTCAGTAAGGCTTTTGACAAGGTTAACCATGCAGTGCTCCTTGACAGACTGAGGATGTGCGGTGTTGGTGGTTCGCTGCACAAATGGATCAGCAATTTCCTTGTGGATCGAAAGTGGAGAGTCCAGGTGGACAACCATCTAACAGACTGGTATCCATCGAGCAGCGGCGTGCCCCAAGGCACTGTACTGGGCCCGATATTGTTTCTAATCCATATAAACGATGTGCCTCAGCTACTACAATCACATTGTGCTTTGTTCGCAGATGACTTGAAAGTGTGGAGAGTAATCCGCACACTCAATGATTGCGATTTACTTCAGCAGGATCTCGACCGCCTCTCAACATGGTCTGCAGAGGTTAACCTTCCGATCAACCCTGCCAAGTCGCAATTCATGAGGTTGGGTAAGTGTGATCACGGCCGAACGTACACAGTGGCTGGACAACCGTTGCATCCCGCTCCTTTCGTGCGCGACCTCGGTGTACTCTCACGCTGCGACCTAAAGTCCATTGACAACACGAATAGGCTGTACCAAAACAGCCTTCGTATGCTTTGGGCTCTCAGGCGCAGCTTTAGCACTTGGTCCGAAGAGATTGCCACTCGCCTCTTCGTCTCGATAATACGACCAATGCTAGAGTACGGCACTCCCGCATACTGTCCCATCACCCGGGGCGAAGTAGAAAAGCTTGAGCGGGTGCAGCATGTAGCCACTAGGCTGATTCCCAACTTACGAGGTATGCCATACGAAGACCGATGTAAGAAACTAGGGTTATACACCCTATCTTATCGTCGGCTGAGGGTTGACCTCATCATGACGCACCGGATATTACATCTGGGTGATTACCCCATGTTGAGACAACTACTTCATCTGCGCACACCAAGCTGCACGCGAGGACACCGGTATAAACTTATCGTCCCGGATTTGAAGCGGGTCGCCCATCAACTCTGTTTCGAACGAAGAGTGGTGAATGTCTGGAACGACCTGCCTCAGCATATAGTAGAAGCGAACACAGTGGCTAAATTCAAGATGCTACTAGACCAACAATTTGCAGAGGCAAAGTACAAAGAGCGAAACGATAAATAAAAAGTTCATGTCCGAAAACGACGAATGATGCAGCTACACAGAGCAACCTCTACTCGCTGCTTCGCACCAGTTCTCAGTTCTCATCTAACGGGAGACGTGATAAGCTATCTGCCATACGGTTCTCGGAGCTAGGGCGGAAGTTGATTTGAAAAGCATAGTTCAGTAACCGCGCATATCAGCGGTTAATCCGTAGTGGCCTGTGAACTATGGTTCCTCGGCTGAGGAGGGTAGTTAGAGCAGCATGCTCCGTGCGTAATGTAAATCTCCGACCAAAAAGAAACAGGTTTTTACAGCCCGAACTAAACGAGCGACAAATTGTTTTAGTGGCTCTGCATCTTCTTGCCTCAAACAGCAGAACTTGTAGCGTTCAGCGAAAATGTTTGGCCGTGCACCCCATGACTGATCGAGTACATCCAATGACTTTGTAAGTGTAGCGAATTGCCGCAGATCTAACGCATCGAAATAACGTTGACCTTCATTGCCCAACAGGTGACGAAGTAGTTTCAATTTTTGCTTCTCATTGTAAGTAGTAGTTGCTGGGAGTAGGTTCAAGTAATTCGTGAAAGACGTTCTCCATTGGCTCCAATCACTCTACGTAGGTCTAGTAGCAGGATCGCAGCAAAAGGCTTCTGGAGGTAGAAGGTGAAATGCCATTGTAATGGTCCACAGCCCAGACGCCACTGTTGTGTCTACACGTACACTAGTCCCCTGCACGCAGGGTCTTGAACAAGCACGACTAACGCCCCGAACGAGGAAGCTGAACTGTACTGGTACGCAACACAAACTTCTAATTACGCCAACGGTACATACACTCAGTACATTCAAAACAACCCTGGTATTGATCGCGAACGGACGGGCATCCAATCACAAGCTACGAAGTGCGGTCATGGTAAGGCCCGCGCGTACGCGCTGCCACACCGTTCCGCAGTGAGGCGACGAACGAGAATCGAGGTCAGTACTTTTGTCACAACTGGCGTTAGGCCAATACCTCTGTGGTTAGAACAGTCTGTGCGACTGCCCTTCTTGTATATTGCCACTGTAATGGAATCGCTCCAATTAGCCGGGACATTCTCCTCCTTCCAGATACGTTCGAATAGGGAGGTCAGTGCTTTGTAGAGGACCTCACCTCCATGCTTTACTAGTGCAGGTGGGAGGGAATCTGGGCCAGCGGCACGAAAAGGATTAAGGGCTTTGATCGCATTGCGAAACTCGGAGGCTCTAAACAAACTGTCCATGGCTCGTCCTGCATCACCTGAGTAGGGAGAGGTCCGGGAGCAGGGGGCCAACTGAACTGATCTTGGGAATATTCCGCACAACGAGCCATACGGCGCTCATTATTGTGTATTAGTGAGTCCGCGTTGTATCTGATTGTCTCACTGACGCTTGGTTACCTGAGACCAGTGGTTCGGATCAGCTGGAAGAGCTTGCGGTAATTGCCTACTGCTACTGTCTCCTCCATTTTTATCCCTGCTGGTCCAACAGGCTTGCTTGACAGCACGTAGGCTCTGCATTAGTTCACGCCTAATAGCCCGTCTAGTCACATTGTGTTCAGAGCCATCCAGGAGGTTTCTTCTAGATTCCAACATGTTCACCAACCTCTGGGATATCCAGTGACTGGTGCGGTGACGATGGATACTGCCGCAAGCAGATGCGCCTGCGTCGTGCATGGCGGCCAAGATCCTATTCCACTGAAGCCAAGCGTCATTAGGACAAGACAGCGGAAGTTCTGTGTGCAGTGCTTCTTGATGGGCTCACCTGACCGAGGCTGAGAAATTTTCTCCGTTGCCAATCGTAAGGGACGCTTGGTGCGCACCCCGGTCAAGTTTATGGAGAAACGACAGCGTACCAAGGCATGATTAGAGTCGACACAGATACTCCAGTATGAGCGGCAATCCAGGATGGATCCACGCCATCTGTAACTTATGGCTATTTGGTCAATTGGTTCCATCGCTGGCAAGCTACAGAAGGACGCCAAGTGGCACTTCGGCGCCCACTGTGTCTAAAAGCAGTGCTACTAAGAAACAACTTGTGCTCCGCACTCAGTTGCAGCAGACGCTCGCCGTTATTAGTCCGGTCGGAGTTAAGCCCATACTTACCGCCCAACTGTGCTTCTGAAGAGCTCAGACGCCCTACTTGTGCGTTCATATCCCCTGCAAGTACCATATCTGAACTAGTAGCACAAAGTTGTAGCGCGTTCAGTATGTCATAGAATGTGTCCTTGACAACATCTGAACTGCAGTCGGTGGGAGCATAAACGGAAAGCACAAACAAGGCGTTGTGTACTACTTCATAAGTCAACCTTAGCTGATGTCGTCAAACGGGCTGCAAATAAACGGCTGCTCACCGAAATCTAATCAACCAACGCTGGCTCAGTCTTGGAGCTTAGAATGATACCTAGGCCAGCTTGACCCATGGGTGCTGCTTTTGGCGTCTCCGGATGCGTGCAACCAATAACGAGATGATAAGCCGGGTGCAGTTAATTAAATAACCCCGTTAGTGTCATTGATCCTAGTTTCGGACACACCACACACAACCATACCTAATGTATCCAAGGGGCGTGCGAGTGCATCCTATTGACCTGTTTG